TTTTTCAGAAACTCCTACTATATATATGTTGTATTTTATTTGCATATGATACATATTTTCTATCCTCTTTCAAATTCTTTTCATGTCTTTATTTCTCTTAAAGTAAAAATGTTTTTCTTCTTTTCATCATTTTCTCTTATGGCATTATCTATTGTAAATTTTCATTCACTTTGACATTTCTTCTAGTTTTCTTTTCTCAAATTATTTTTCTTTAATTTCTGATGTTTATGATTTTTATTAATATTTTATTTTTAAATTTTTCTGATTTCTTAAAATATATTAGTTTTAAGGACTTTCAGGTTTTTTTCTCTTAGTTATAGAGCAGAATAGGCCTCTTAGGCTTAGTTTATTACATTTCCACCCAGGAAGTTTCTGCAATTAGTCATGTGTTTGCATCCTCACTAGTCTCTGTTTTTGTGACACCAGCTTTACATAAGTACCAAGATGTCTGTAGCTTTCTCTGTCCCCCAGCACCAGCTCTGCGACTGGAATCAGCTTCTACCAATCTCAGAAGTCGAGTGTCCTCAGGGTAAATGTTTGTTTGCAAATGATCAAATGTCAATTCACCACTTACTCCTTTTCAGGCCTTTCAGCTCTCTCACCTGCTGTGCTGTCACAGTCTTTCTTCCTGATAGGTTTTTGTCTCTTAAGTATCATATGACTGTGTGACATGGTTCCTTTTGCTTTTCAGACATGTTTTGGGTTAACTTGTTTGACCCCAACCTGGCACAATTTCAGAATTTAGCAAATATGTTTACAAGGACCTTCTATGTATTTAAGACCCTTTTAGTCTTCAGTTTTATTATCTCTCAAGCCTGGTATGATTCAGAAAAATATCCTGCATGTTTCTCCATTCTCAAAAATAGTGTTTGCCTCTGTTGCCAAGACTAGATTTTTTAGCCTAGCTAGTCCTGTATTGTCAAGTGTCTCCTGTTTAAAAACAGTTATATTGTCAACACTCAAGTGTCAACATTACTTCTAGGGTTTTGCTTCTTATTTTTCAGGGTCTCTTGCTCTAGTAGATTATCTTTTAAGCACCATGAGACTATAGGAAGATGTACTGTGCTTTTCAGACATTTTTGGCTTAGATTTATGCCCTCCAATCCCATGTAACTTCGTAAGTCAATAAATACCATGATTGCAAAACTGGCTGTGTATCTGAGGCCTCATAAAACTCAAGTTTTGTCACTCTGCCCCTATAGAAACATAAAAAGCTTTGCTTGTTTCTGTGTCCCAGCAATGACCCTTGTTCAAATAATAGCCGTGGTTCCCAGCCTCTAGTCTGTGCTCAGAATCTGCAAATTCTTTGAGGAAAAAGAGAGGTGCATATCATTAGTCTACCTTTGAAAGATTCATCCCTCTGATATTTTAGAATCTGTAGTCTTCTGTAACTTTCTAATAGCTTTAAAAGTTTGATTTTTTTTCAGTATTTTCTAGTTTTCAGTATGTGCTTTGGTCTGCCATGTGTGGGTTCAAAGGTAAAACTTCTTTGCCCTCAGAATTTTCACTGGAAAATCAACTCATAAACAGATTGATAAGAGAAAAATTATCAAATTTTTTTAACATGTATATAAAGGAACCCCCAGAAAATGAATATTCAGCTCCTCAACAGGGCTCAAAAGCTTATATGCCTTTTTGATAAAATGGGGTTGAGGACAAAAATGAAATTCCATTGAGGGAGAATAAAGGATTATATAGCTGTCTCAGGTGGTGGATACCAATTGGGATGAACAATAGACTAATTAAAAAGCTTAAAAGGGAAAATCTGAATATGTCCTAAGGGCTTTGAAAAGCTACCACATATTCCTGGGATTTTAGAAGACACCTCATATTTATAGGACTGTGCATATATTCACAGCTGTATACGTGGTCAGTAAAGACCAGAAGGCCCTCATCTTTTAATTCTACCTGACCTTCAGGCTCTTTACAAACAAGAAGTTAAGACTTAGGCTGAGTGTTGTAAGTGTACAACACACACGACCTCTCAGCAAACACTGGGATACTTACCGGTTTTAAGAGTTTGCAGGAATACCTGTCTAATCATTACCTAACTACTCAGCTAAAAGAATAGAGATATCAGGAGCCACCCACAGGAAAGAATATAGGCTTTACAGAATTAATTCAAAAAATCACTGAACTAATAATTGTGATAAGCAACAACAACAAATAGTGGAAGTGGAGGGAAAAAAACTAATAGAAACTGTCTCTGAGGAACCTAGACATTGGATTCATTAGACAAAAAGACCTTAAATGAGTTATATTAAATATATTCAAAGAACAAAAAAAAAACTGTGTCTAAAAAAATAAAGTATGAGAGTTATGTCTCAGTGAATAGAAAATATGAATAAAAAAAAGATATACATTACTTTTTAAAAGAACCAAATAGAAATTCTGGAGTTGAAAACTAATCAAGAAAGGAAAAGATTTGCAAATGAAAAACTCCAGAAATGAAAAATACTTTAGAAGGACTCATTAGCACATTTAAGCAAGCAGAAGAAAATATTAGGAAACTTGAGGATAAGTCTAATGAGATAATCCATTAATGAGGAAAAAACAGAAATAAGTATAAAGATAATTAACAGATACCCAGGAACTTGTGGGACGCTATTAAGCATGCCAACATACCTGTAATGAGAATTCCAGAAGGAGAGAAAGAAGAAAAAGGACAGAAGGAATATATGGATAAATAACCTTCAAAAAGTTCCCAAATTTGATGAAAACTATTAATCATTTCAGAAGGTCAATAAACTCCAAGTAGGATAAACTCAAAGTGATCCACATTTAAGATACATCATAAACTGTAAGTCAAAAGCCAAAGACAAAAAGTAAAAGCAGCAAGGGAGAAGGGACTTATCATATACACAGGTTCCTCAATAAAATTTAAAACCGATTTCTCATCAGAAACTAAGTCCAGAAGGTAGTGGGATGACATTCAAAGTGCTGAAAAGAACTGTTAACCATGAATAATGAGCAAAAGTATCTTTCAAAAATGTCAAAGAAATTAACATTTCAGACAGACAAAATCAGAACATTTACCACTAGCAGATCTACACTACAAGAGATACTAAAAGGAGTCCTTAAGGCTACAATGAAAGGATGCTAAACAGCAGCTCAAATTCACATGAAGGAAGAAGGAAAAAGAACAATGATAAAGGTAACTAGGTAAGTACAGAAGATAGCCTGAATGTATTTTTTGCCAGTAGCTCTTTATTTGTCCTGATTTAAAAGATGACTGCACAAAGCAATAATTATAAATCTGTGTTAATGGAAAAATAATATATAAAGATGTGATTTATGTGAAAATAACAACATAAAGAAAAGGGGGGGTGTATCCTATTGAAGTTTTACTGTATCCTATTAAGTTTTAATCTAAATCAGATTCTCATATATTAAGATTTATTTGTAATCCCCATGGAAACTGCTAAGAAAATATCTCAAAACATAGTTGATAGGCAATTAAAAATGTATTCTAGGAAATCTCTAACACAAAAGAAGGGAGCAATGGAGAAATACAGGAACAAAAAAGACATATAAAAAACAAATAGCACACACAAAATATCAGATATTTTAGTCTTAAAATTTGAAGGGAACAATCATGAAGGTAATCTAGTACTTTTTGTTTCTTGGAACGGAATTCTCCTCCATGATATCCTTGATCTAGAGGGGCATCAGTGCTCTACATGAATAGTTTTAGTGATTGCATTCTTTCTCCCTCTAAGACAGCCATTCTATTTATTTTCTTCCTTTTCTATGTCTTTCACACCCATACAAGCAGTTATATTTTCTGTTATCCACTTCATTGACTGATCAGAATGGATAAAAATAAGCAACATCCAGTGATATGCTATTCAAGAAAAAGATCTCATAATATGGAAAGGTTGAAAATAAAAGGAAAAATACATGCCATCAAAGCACTAAGTAAAAAAAGCTGTGGTAGCTATATTTATTAATAGTAGATCAAAAAAAGTTAAGAAGAAAGCAGTTATAGAAATAGATGGAGTTATTTCATAATGATAAAATGTAGAAACTATAACAATTCTAAATTTGTATGCACATTTTTTGTGATTTTTTTCTACTTGCCCTATTCCTCAGTTTTACACTGAATGTTCTCTTCCTAGTTTCATGCTGTCAGCAAATTTTTAAAATCATTTTTCTTTATAATCTATGTTCATCTGATTTCTTAGAGTGAATGAACTCCTTATTAATACTAATCCTTATCTCTGCTTACTTTCCTAATACTAATCCTTATCTCTGCTTACTGGTTCCTTTTGTTGTCAGTTCTCTTTATTTCTGTTTTCATTTGACTAAAGGAACAAGGCTATTAGCTAGTAGAAAAACATATTTGACATTAAATTATATAAGATTAGCATACACATGATCTTAATGTGAATGATATAGTTTACAAAGCTCTCTTCAGAATTCTATTTCCTATGTTCTTGTATGTGTTTATTAGAAATTAAGAGCAAACTGTTCAGACAAGCAAGGGTAGATGTATAATTTTATTCCAATTACCATGCCTTCCATTTTTGCCTTTTCTGGCTTGTGCTTGCATTTTGGCTTATGATTAATAATTCTAAGTCATTTCTTTTGTAAGTCATAGATGTGTGTTTGAATGCTTGTAGCTACATAGTTTTCTCAAATACTTAAGCCTTAGAATGCAGGTATCATCTTTTTAGCATTTATATAAAAATGTATAAGATATTATTAATTTACATATCTTGACACAGGATTCATTCCCATTCATTCGTTGATTCAAGAGGCATCTTCTGTATGCCTAGTCTTTTATAAGCGGTATTAGCAAAACTATAATAAAACTGTGCAGTTTATTGAAAAGGATAATGAATTGTCACTTACCCTTTCATTTCTTACCAAAGACATACTAGCACTTAATTCAATTTCTTACAATGGGGAAGGGGAAGAGCAAGTGCCAAAGAAACATATAAGTATCATTTTGGGGGCAGTGAGAAAATGAATTAATGGAAATCTTTTAAATTTTTCAGGATGAGAGAGACCTAGAGAAAGATGATGAACTGGAACTGAAAAGAAGTCTTTTATACAGAGACTCTGCCTATGATAGTGACCCCGAGTTAAGGTATGAACTTGGTTAATGCTGTGTATAGAGATTGTTCTAGTTAGTATAAAAATAACCTGTTTTCTGATCTGCTGATTTGTGGGAAATTTAAACCCAAAAGTATAATTAATAATTTTTTTATTTTTAACTATGTAAATTCCTATGAAAATATTTTAACATGGTTATATTACTGAATTTTTTCAGTGAAAACAAATACCATCAATTTATAGTGATACATTTTATCCTACTTAAGATTTATTTGGCTGCCCTGAAAACCAACATATTTCAAGGTGTATTTATGTATTCTAATCTAAAAAAAAAGTTTCCATAATTTTAGACTATGAGGCAACTTTTTTAAATAATATAGGAGCAAATTTTATATTCTTGTAGCCTAAAATCTGAGGAATTTTAATAATAATAAAATTTTTGCAAGTTTATACCATCAAATCCCATAAAGACTTGAAAGTTTTGTGTCAATTGCCATAAAATGCAGTGTTAAAAATGATAAGTTGGGGATTTGTACATTCAAAGTTTCCTGAATCCTTGGATGCTATGCCACTGATTATTATTAATATAGGACTTTCACCTTCCTGAGATTCCTAAGAAAGAAATATAAGAAGAAATCTCCAAATAATGGAGTATGTTTTATTTCTAAATGTGGTTTTGCACTCAAATCTCTAATCTTTACTGTGGTGAACTAGGCTGGATCAATTGTGAACCTGTAAGGACTTTTCCTTTTGCCCCTTACACAGAGTGTAAGTGTGTGTGTGACCTTGTTTCCCAAAGTTACCGCCTCCTAAGCAAGAGGCAATCTGGGACTCTCATTAAGGTAAGTGGTATATTATAGATGGATTTGAAGGAAAAGCAATACAAAGATTAAGGGAAGATTCAGAGAATATATACCTTGGGAAAGAAGATTTTCTACCCTTTGCTATTCTTCCTTAAAGCTGTATTCCCTAGATTGTTACATTGGCTTAGCATCCCAATTTTGAGTGCTTAACCCATATAATTAATTCTTTTTAGAGGTGCTTAATCCATATAATAAATTCTAATTTACGCAAGAAGTAAGTAGGGTTTATATAGGAAAGGGTTTGATTTTTAAACTTTTATATGTATCACTCTCACATATAAGTGAGAGCTTATGATATTCTCTTTTCTATGCCTGGGTTATTTCACTTAACATAATGTCCTCCAGTTCCATCTGTGTTGCTACAAATGACAAGACTTCATTATCACTGAATAATGTGTTTTGTAGCTGAATAATACTCCATTGTGTACATATACCACATTTTCAATGTGCATTTATCCATTGATGGACACTTAGATTGATTCCATATCTTGGCTATTGTGAATAGTACTGCAATAAATATGGGAATGTAAATATATTTCAATGTGCTCATTTCCTTTCATTTGAATATATACCCAGCAGTGAGATTGCTGTATAGATGGTAGTTCTATTTATAGGTGTTTGAGGAAGGTCCATAATGTTTTTCATAGTGGCTGTAGTAATTTACATTCCCACCAACAGTGTTCAAGCATTTCCCTTCTCTGCATCCTCTGCAGCATCTGTTATTTTGTTGTCTTTTTCATAAAAGCCATTTAAAGTACTGTGAAATGATATCTCACTGTGGCTTTGAGTTTCACTTCTTTGCTAATTAGTGATGTTAAGCATTTTTTCCTACACCTGTTGGCCATTTGTATGTTTTCTTTTGAGAAATGTCTATTTAGATCTTTAGCCCATTTTTAAATCCAAATTAATTGAATTAATTTGGGTTTTGCTATTGGGTTTTTTTTTAACTCCTGACCTCGAGCAATCCGCCAGCCTTGGCCTCCCAGAGTGCTAGGATTACAGGCGTGAGCCACCACGCCCGGCCTGCTATTGGGTTTTTTAAGCCCCTTTATATATTCTGGTATTAACCCTTTGTCACATGAATAGTTTGTAAATATTTGCTTTCATGCTGTAGATTATCTCTTCACTTTGTTGATTGTTTCCTTTGCTGTGCAGAAGCTTTTAATGATATCCCATTTGTTCATTTTTGCTTTGGTTGCCTATGTTTTTAAGGTCTTACTCAAGAAATCTTTACCCGGACCAATGTCCTAGAGCATTTCCTCAATGTTTTCCTCTATTTCATAGGTCAGGCCTTATATTTAAGTCTTTAATCCATTTTTATTTGATTTATATATATGGTGAGAGATAGGGATTATTTTCATTCTTCTGCATGTGGATATCCAGTTTTCTCGGCACAGTTGTTGAAGAGACTTGTCCTTTCCCCGATGTACGTTTTTGGTGCCTTTGTCAAAAATGAATTGATTGTAAATATGTGGATTTACTTCTGTGTTCTCTGTTCTCTTCTGTTGGTCAATATTTCTGTTTTTATGCCAATACTATGCTGTTTGGGTTATTACAGATTTGTAGTATATTCTAAAGTCTGATAGTATGGTACTTCCAGCTTTGTTCTTTGTGCTAGGATAACTTTGGCTATTCAAGGTCTTTTGTGGTTTCATATAAATTTTATGATTGTCTTTTCTATTTCTGTGAAGAGTGTCATTGGTATTTTAATAGAAATTACATTGAATCTATAGATCACATTGGATAATATGGACATTTTAACAATATTCATTCTTCAAATGTATGAACATGGGATTTTTTCCATTTTTGTATGTTCTCTTCAATTTTTTTCATCAGTGTTGTATTTATTGTAGAGATCTTTCACTTTTTTGGTTAAATTTATTCTTTGGTCTTTTTAAAAAATAACTATTGTAACTGGGATTATGTTCTTGATCTCTTTTTCAGTTTGTTTACTGCTATCAGATAGAAATGATACTGATTTTTGTATGTTGATTTTATATTCTGCAACTGGACTGAATTTGTTTATCATTTCTAGCAGTTTTTCGGTGGAGTTTCTAGGGTTTCTAAGTATAAGAATATGTTGTCTGCAAACAAGGCTAATTTGATTTCTTCCTTTCCAATTTGGATGCCCTGTATTTCTTTTTCTTGCTGGTTAGGACTTCCAGTACTATGTTCAATAAAAATGGTTCAAATGGGCATCCTTGTCTTATTCTAGATCTTAGAAAACCATCAATTTATCTCCATTCACTAAAATGTTAGCTCTAAGTTTGTCATATAGGGCCTTTATTATTTTGGACTATGCTCCTATTACACACTTTGATGACGGTTTTTAAAATCATAAAGGGATTTTGAATTTTAACAAATGCTTTTTCTGTATCTATTGAGATGATCTTATGGTTTTTTTCTTGATTCTGTTGATGTGATATAAGATGTTTATTGATTTGTGTATGTTGAAACATCCTCTAATCCCTGGAATGAGTACCACTTGCTTATGGTGAATGATCTTTTTAATGTCTTGTTGAATTTGATTTGCTAGTATTTTGTTGAGGATTTTTGCGTATGTTCATCAGGGACATTGGCCTATAGTTTTCTTTTGTTGTATTTTTGTCTGGTTTTGGTCTCTGGGTAATTCTGGCTTCATTGAATGAATATTCCTTGTCTTCAACTTTTGGGAATAGTTTGAGTATAATCGGCACTAGTTCTTCTTTAAATGCCTGATAGAATCCAACAGTAAAGCCATCAGGTCCTGGGCTTTTCTTTGATAAGAGACTTTTTATTACTGTTGTGATCTTATTACTTATTATTTGTCTAAGTTTTCTGCTTCTTCATTGTTCAGTCTTGCCACGTTGTATGTGTTGAGGAACAAACTTCATAATCTGTAACAAGCCTGAGAGGTCTAATCTGTAACAAATATTGCTTTTATTGTAGTAGGTCAATTATTTTATTTAAAAAAATAAATTCAGTCTTTGAAGGAGTTAACATTTGTGATAAATGATATATTAAGTCCATAACTTAATGTTCATGATAGTAAAATTATAACTTCAGTATTATAAAAAAAAGTACTATCAACACTTCAGGAAGAGTTTCCTTTTCTTCTCAATTCTCAGCACAGCTAGCCCTAGTCCTGGTCTATTTCATTAGCTTCCCATCTGCTTGCTCTCACTCGCATGTTCTCTCTCTGTCTCTTGCTTCCCCTTTTTTTTTCTTCAAGACCCTCAAAAGTGCAGTGGATCCCTATCACTTCAAATTCAGCCTCTTCTGCCTTGTTTCCATTTTTCCATGAATGGCTCATATTGAGCCTAATTTTCTATTCCTCCTTGAGGACAGTAGCAGCATGACATAGCAGAACGGACCTTAGAGTCACAGACATGGTCTCCTTTCCTATTCTACTACTATTAGATTAATAGTATTAAATAATAGCTGAGTAATCTTAGGCAATCATTTAACTTCATTGAGTCTTAATTTCCACATGTACCAACTTCTAGGGGCTGTAAGATTTATTGACAAATATATAAAATACCTAGTTCAGTATCTCATATTCAATAACTTTTTATACATATAGTCCAAGGTAAGCCTTTACTATACACTTTACATATATTCTCTTTAATTTTTAAAACAATTCTTGAAAAATGTAATTACAGAAGGTGAGACTCTGGACAATTAAATAAATTTTCCAAAGTCCCACAGCTTATAAAGGACTGAGCTGGAATTCAGGTCCAGGTGTGCCTGACTTTTGGAAGAGCTATGCATTTTCATACCAGATGGCCATATCAGATCATTTGGGCTCTGCTTTTACTGTGCTACACCTGTCTCTGTTCTCTGAATTCCTTTTTAACTCTAACATAAAATTCCCATATTATCATTTTATAACAGTTTCATACAAATAGTTCTGCTTCCCATTTTAGAGAGCCACTCTTTGAAAGCATAGGTCTTATTGTATTTTATTTTGTCCCCTATAGAGTATCAAATACCCATGCAGTACTAAGTAAATATTTCATTTATATAGTAATACCTCTAATTTAGTTTCACTGTTGTTTTAAACCGTTTATATCCTTTTTTATAGCTCATATCAGCGCTCACGTGGCACTCTCCATATGGATGATGGCGAATACTGGTCCAACAGGGCAGCCTCTTATAAGGGAAAATCCCACCGACCCATCTTTGAGAACAGCATGGACAAGATGTACAGGAACTTGTACAAAAAGGCCTGTAGTTCTGTTTCTCATACACAGGAAAGCTTCTGAGACCATCCACCATAAACTGTATGAGTGTTCGTGTCAGCTTTTAATGAAAACGTTTGATGTGATCAATATCTGTATTCTTTTTTTTAAACATTTGATTATAATTGAGTAGTTAGACTTGAGTAAGTTCATTACTTCAAATGGTAAATTACCATAGGAAAGTATCTTTTTATTACAGAAAAGTGTGCTATTTTCCAGTGTCAAAGCTCTGTGACATAATCGTAACTTCCAATCTGTGACAAGGCTATTCTGTGACATACATCTCTTATCACCATCTACAAATCCAAGAGTAGGTTCTCTCTAGAAATGTTCTGCCTTAATCACTTTGTAATTTCTTTTTTCATTTGCTTGACTGGTAATCTTGTCTATGTAAGATTTAATTAATGTTAACTACCTTTTCTTGGTAATGAGCAAACAGATACATTATCAGAAATGAGTTTTCCAAGAGTTAAACTCCGTTTCAACTAGCAATTTCTACTCTTTTAGCTCATAACAAATACCTTTCTTTTTGAAGTTTATGTAATTACTCACTCCTTCTCTGGAAGAACTGTCTAAGTTACCTAAAATGTATTACATTTAGCTAGAAATAGCAGTATCCAGGTATGATACAAAATATGAATAATTTTTAAAGATAGAATTCTTTGTATGATTATCTTCTAGGGCCATACCTTTAGTGCAACCAGAATCAGAAAATAGCCTTTGTTGGTAAGCTTATAGAAATTTGAAAAGAATAAGGAAAATATTGTCATTTTATCACTTTAGAATTTTTATAGGTATCATATGGCCCAAGAAAGTAGTTTTCTCACTTTAAAGAATACTTGGAGCCATAGGGGAGTAAACTATTATAGCCAAACACTTTGTAGTAGACCCTTAAAAATCTATTGGTTGATTGATAAAAATGTTTTCCTTTTTTACCCCAACACAAACCTGTGAAGCCAGTGACACTTTGAAGGTAAAAATAAAGAAATTACCTCACGTTTACCACAGAGTGGGGGCACGGAAAGCAAAGAATAGAAAATAAATGAACTTGGCTTATAAGCTTGAAGAGTTGACCATAAGATAATGTTTTCTCATTGACTCTATCTTTGGTTTATTTCACAGTTGTGTTTTACAAAAGAAAAAAAGAAAAATGACTTGAATGCTATGACGTGAACTTCCACATTTGAAATTAACATGTAGAATTGGGTGACTATTTTTTATAATAGAACTTTTAAACATCATGTTAAAAGTGTTTTAGTATGACAACCTATGAAATATCAGAAAGTCATGAGAGCTATCTCTATGGGCCACAAGTCCTGGGCTTTATTGTCTCATCTCTGTCATCTTCTAGCCGAGACTCTTTAATTCTCTGGTCCTTCATTTCCTCAGCTATCAAATGATGATAGTGCAGTAGATTCCAAACCATGTTCTGTGGACCAGGACCACCATTCTAGAAGATGATTGTAGGAATGTAGATATAAGTATTTCATTGGTCATGTAACTTTAGGAAAATCTGTTTACTACACACATTCACACACACACACACACACACACACACACACACCCCTACCTCTTAGAGAGTCATATGTAGGATGATGAGAATGAAAAGTGTTACTATTAATGCTAGAACAGCACTTGTAAGTGGGCTGTCTCTGGCAAAGAAGCACATGCGGCTACCATAGTCATAGGGAACACTAGCATGTGAGAGGTTTTAAGACAATTATGGTCTAAACCTGTTTTTCTGTAGCAAGTATTAGAGAGTCTGGCACATAATTAATGCTCCTTAAATATTTATTGAATTAACCTAGAATTTCCTAAACTAAATTGAGCATGTAACAGTATTTGTTGTTATGAGCCACTATCCCCCCTTACCCCAGCTCCCCACCCTCTTCCCCAAATGCCATCCTCAGGTACTTGTGGATACCAACTAGGTAAATGCTAGAGTACACAATCTCTGAGTTAACCTCTGGGCTGTAGGGATATTTTTTATTTTTTATTTTTTATGTTTTTAGAGACAGACTCTTGCTCTGTTGCCCAAGCTGAAGTGCAGTGGCAATTATAGCTTACTGTAGCCTCAAGCTCCTGGGCTCAAGCAATTCTCCCAACTCAGCCTCCTGAGCAGCTAGTACTACAGGAGCACACCATCATGCTTGGCTAGTCTTTAAAACTTTTTTTTTTTTTTAGAGATGGGGTCTCACTGTGTTGCCCAGGCTAGTCTCAAACTCCTAACCTCAATCAATCCTCCCACCTTGGGTTCTCACAGTGCTGGAATTAGAGATGTGAGCCATTGTGCCTGGCCTGGCTGTAGGTTATATGATAATGTTTTGCACAATAAGCTTTTGAAGATCAATATTGAATAATGTTCTTTTTAAAAATCATATCCTCAGTGGAAATTAGTGTATTTTTCTTTGGGGAAAAAGTGAAAAATTCTTCTGCTTAAAAGTTGTTGTTGGCCGGGCGCGGTGGCTCTTGCCTGTAATCCTAGCACTCTGGGAGGCCGAGGTGGGTGGATCGCTCAAGGTCAGGAATTTGAAACCAGCCTGAGCAAGAGCAAGACCCTGTCTCTACTAAAAATGAAAGGAAATTAATTGGCCAACTAATATATATAGAAAAAATTAGCTGTCATGGTGGCGCATGCCTGTAGTCCCAGCTACTCGGAAGGCTGAGGCAGCAGGATCGCTTGAGCCCAGGAGTTTGAGGTTGCTGCGAGCTAGGCTGACGCCATGGCACTCACTCTAGCCTGGGCAACAAAGCGAGACTCTGTCTCAAAAAAAAAAGCCACTGTTTGGTGAAAAAAACAAATATGACCTCAACAAAAATGTTTTACTGTTACAGAAATCTCCTAGGTGAATAAGTACCACAAAAATTACTTATTGAGCTTATATGTGCCACTGGCTATGACAAAGGATGCAAAAAGTAGAACTCAAAGGAGAACTTCATAAACTGATATGCTGAAAGACATTTTCATATGGACTAAGTTTAGCATCTGTCTGAAAGTTGAGGGCAAATTTCCAGATGTATAATGTCTTTACTAAGTGTCTGATTACCTTCCATTCCCTAGGGTAATGGGTGGTTTTCATTGCTCTGATTACTATAAATTCTTATTCTGTGTTGTTTTTAAATGATAAAACCTTTAAGTACTAATGGTTGTCTTTCTTATTCATAGAAACAGAAAGTTGTACTTTTTATTCTCTTAGACTTTTTTCTATATTTCCCACAAATTGAGTAATGACTATTAGGCTTAGTAGGAAAGATGAATAGGCTTTTCTTCTTCCTTTTAATATATTTTATTCCTTTAAATAAAAGAAAACTCTAGGAATTTCAGGAAGGAAAATGTCAAATTCAACAAAGAAGTAAAGATGAATTACTGGAGTGTGAGTCTTCCCTGGTTCTACTACTAGTTACATAACCTTGATTAAGCCATTTATCCTTCTTGGAGCTCAGTTTTCTCACCAATAAAGTGATAAAGGGGTTAATTTAGAATGATCCTTTAACATGCCAACATTTCTATAATTGTATAATTAATTAATGTGGATGATCAGGAAGTCCTAGGCAGCAGCATTACCTTGTGACTTCAAAGGTTATGCCCCTGATTAAAAATCTAGAGCAAATAGAGATTTTTCATCCTTGTATTTATTTGCTAATAATAGCTTTATTGAGATATGATTCACTGTGAAAAACCAAAAATAACTCAGCTTTTGAGGGGAAATAAAAAGTATATATGTAACATATTCAAGAAGGGAGTGATATAGAATAGGAGATCCTGGCCTTTGACCCCCTAAACAACCATCTGGCAGCCATACATGAATGGAAATAGCTATGGGACAGCTTTGGAATCCAGATAAGAAGCTGCAGCAACACAGTAGAGCAAAAAACAAAACAACAACAACAACAAAAATGCAAAACAACAACAACAAAAAACAAAAATAACCACACAGAAAGGGTAGGAAGAAAGAAGTTTCATTTAGTCTTTTCATACTGTCCCTCAGGCTGGCATAGCTCAGTGCCAAGAGTTTTCCTCACAAGTGAAATGAGAGCAGGGTGAATATCAAGCTTCTCCACACTTTTGACATACTGCCCAAAGGACCTACATTGGTTTCATTCCACTCAGATCACTGGTGAGACTGGCATAGCTGAGATATCTGAAGGCAGCTAGGAACAAAGAAGAGCAGAGGCTGTCATTTCAGCCCTATGGCAGGAGTTCACAGTGGTTCACAGTGGCCTGTTGTTCGGAGGACCCCAGCAGTCTTTGACACTAAGAACCTCCTACCTTCCATAGACCCCTACCCCCATGGCTTTCACCACAGATGGCCTCCCAGTTTTCATTTTCATGGACCCCAGCTGCCTAGGCCACTATCCCTCCCAATCCCCCTATCCCCAACCAAAGATGCTCCAGCCAGTGTTGCTATGGGCACTCCAACTTTGGGTCCCAGTGTAGTCATTGCATAAATGCCTGCAACTGGCACTGACCCTACAACCAGGTCCAGTTTTAACCACCATGTTCGCCTACTACCAACTCTCATAGTCATGGGCATATACACAACTGGCTCTGGCTATTGCCACAGTGCATATAAGCACTGCTGATTTGCATCACTGAATGTGTGCTCTTACCACTGCACACGTGCCCATTGCTGGCCCCAGCTGTTGTGGCCTCATACACACAGCTGGTTTGTATTGCTGCACATGTGTCTTCCCATGGCCATCACTTGCCACTACACAAGCATTTCTCCTGGTCTTAGTTGACAAAGCCACAGGTACCCTTGGTGCCGGCCCCCCATCACATCTACTCACAGCTGTTCCCAGCCTTCACTTCTAGCTGTTTCCATAACATGTATGCATGCCATTAGCCTTGGCCCTTGCTTATGCAGGTGCACTTGCTGCTGGACCCAGAGGCACTGCCAAGGATCCCAGCAGCCCTCACAGGCACCACAGAACCTCCACAACATTCACTCCTGAGGACCACATAGTTGCCAATGTTGTGGACTCTGGCTGTCTGAGCTGCTGTGCTACCACTCTTGTCCCTCCTATATATGGAACTGTAGCAAGACCCTGAAATCAGCACCTCACATACCACAAGATATAGTTGCAAC